CTAAATTCTTAATTAGCTCCATATTTAAAAAATAAAATCAAGAAAAACAATCCTGAAAAAAATAAAAAAAAGAGACAATTTTGAAAAAAATAAAAAAAAAACATGTAGAAAAAGTTAAAACTAAATTCTCAGTCAGCTCAATATTTAAAAAAAAATCAACAAAGCTAATTTTCAAAAAAAAAAATGTAGCTCAATATTTAAAAAAAAATCAACAAACCTAATTTTCAAAAACAAATGTGTGAAAACACTATAGCAAAATAAAAATCACGTGGAAAAATATTGTAATAATTCACAATGTTTTAAAAAAAATTACGAAGCAAAATTATCAACTAGCTCAATATAAAAAAAAATCAACAAAAATCATTTAAAAAATTCATTAAATAAAGAGAAAAACATATAGAAAAATATTATAGTAATCCATAATATTTTAAAGAAAAAATTACAAAACTAAATTCTTAACTAATTTAATATTAAAAAAATAGAAAAAAATAATTTAAAAAACATAAAAAGAAAATAGTCTTTAAAAAAAGAAAATAGTCTTTAAAAAAAGAAAAAAAATATGCAAAACCCAAAACAAAGGTGAAAAAAGGAAAAAAACAAAAAAACAGATAAAAAATTGTGTGAAGAAAACTAAAGTACTTTTATGTGTATATTTTAGAATATTAGTTAAATTATTTGAAATAATCTCAATTATATATATATATATATATATATATATATATATATGTTAAATCAAACACTCTGAGAGCCTCTTTCCTTAAGGTTCGGTCATGGTGACGTTTGATCTCGAGCAATTTCCATCGTTAGTTGAAAATTTTCGACATTATAGTTTTTTGTCTTTTAAAAGTTAGATACAAATTTATCATAAAAATTCAAAAAATGAAAATCATAAAGTAAATTTAAAAATTCCGACAAATAATCAATGATATCTAAGAAAATAAAAGGAGTGTTTAATTAATTGTTTTCAGTTTTAACGTGCTGTTAATTTAGTTATGTTAAGAGTATAAATATCTAATAACAAGTTCTTAACTTAATTATGAAACTACTGGTCAAGGGCATTTATGACATCTTAGAAACCGACTGCCCAGACCATATAATTATAACCGTGTGCTCAAGCTGGGGGTGTCTTTAAAAAGTCGCTTTAGCACGTGCTTACTTTCAATTAAATTAAATTAAGTGAAAAGAAAAGACAGGCCATAACCTAAACAGGAGATCCACCTAAAAAGCCGGCGATTAGGAGTGTTTGGTTGGATTACTTTTTGAAATGATTTTTTTAAAAAGATATATTAAAATAATTTGTTTATTTATTAAAATATGTCATTACTTTATTAAAATGATGTAAGAATATTTTCTTCAAAAATAAAATAAAATAATTCAAAAGTTTTAAAAAACACACTCGAGCTCCCAAACACAGCCTAGATCCTCACCCCTTGGAATATTAAAACCACTGCCACAAACCTGGGAGCTAAGATCCTTTGTTCAACCTCAGTTTTCTCAAAACCACAACGCTTTCCAGCGCGGGAGAAATCATCACCTTTTTTTACTTCTTTTTTTCCCTAGCAAGGGTGGCAAACAACAAAAATAACTTTAAAATTAACAAATATAATCCAGGATTGTGAATTCGTTAATTTCTTTCAATGGAATAGATTCGTTTATACGACTATCCATGTGCTATTAATTCATGAGCACTTTGTAAATTCATAAGAATAAATTTTTATTTTTATTTTCTATTTAAATTCGCATCTTAAGGTGATGACATGCGAGGTATTCATTAGCTTCAAGACTTTTTTATTTTATTGGCAAGGAAAGGAAAAGAAGAACCCAGTTTCCCATTTCCCGAGGAAGCAAGCCCATGTTTTTTTGCTTCCCAATCTTTTTTGTTTTTTCCTTTCCTTTTGCTTTCCAATCTTTTATCATTGCATGTATAAATAGCCCGCACCTAACAGGTTTCAACACGTCCTGCAACCTTTCTGCCAAGTGATCAAGACTCCAACTGCCTTAAGAATCATTTCTACATGCCCTTCTTTCGTCTACCTCTAAATTTTTAGCAGAGAAGTTAGTGAGAGAGATAAAGAAGAGCAATGGGAGGTAATAGAAGACTGTGCAAGCTTGAGGTGGCATTCAAGTCCATGGCGCAGAAGAGTAATGTTGGTGGGGCAGAATCTGCACCAAGCAACATTAACGGTGCCAGCAAAAATATGAGCAGAATTAGCACCGCATCTGGTGGTAATAGTCATGAGGCCACTGGAATGAACAGTGGTTCTGATGACTATAGGAGGAAGAGAAGGGAAGAGAAGGCTGAGGCGCTCTTACACCTGATTTGTTGGGGGCCTAATTGATCCCTTTTTTTCCTCGTATAAAGTATCAAGTTCTTAGTGTTCCTACTGCGAAAGAATAGCTTGATGTATTTTCGATCTTCAGTTTTCAAATTCCATGTAAATATTGTTTGCAACTAAGATGTTCAAGAGAGGTCCACGCCACTGATGATATTTTCATGTCGAGTCCATCCATCACGGCTATGAAATTCGATGCAATGGAGAGTAAAAAACCCACTCCGACCTCGACATATTGGTGTACAAGATCAAGCCGGCTACTGGAAAAACGAAGCGTTAACTAAAAAGAAAGCCCTGTTATAACGAAGGCAAAATGAAGAATTATCATCAACAAAATTTGCTATTACCAGAACTTCTCCTTGGCCCGTTGATTTGGTGTTATATTTCCCACCACCCCACCATGGTTCCTCGGTTCAAAGGAAAAAAAAACCATGGTTCCAGCACCGGTGCACACGACAGCCTGGGAAAGAAAATGTTTTAAGAAAGAAGCATAAAATAATCTCGACGCGATTGATCCACTGGAAGCTTCGATGTGGTTTGTTTTTTATTTTCTTTACCACCTTCAACGCCAATGCCACACGGAATCATCAAAACAAATTTTATAACCCGCGGTCATTTAATTTTGAATATAATAAAGGAATATTTAATATTATAGATACATTTTAAAAATATTATTTTTTAATTGAGAAATGCTAATATACTTTTAATGAAAATACCCCATTCATGCCGCCGCT